ACTTTTCTCATTCTCTTTCATTCTCTCGCTCTCATTCTCTCTCGCTCTCATTCTCTCTTTCTCTCATTCTCTCTCTCTCCCTCATTCTCTCACTTTTTCTCATTCTCTTGCTCTCATTCTCTCTCTCTCTCATTCTCTCGCTCTCATTCTCTCGCTCTCTCTCATTCTCTCGCTCTCTCTCATTCTCTCTCTCACGTTCTCTCTCTCTCATTCTCTCTCATTCTATCTCTCATTCTCTCACACTCACTCTCATTCTCTCGCTCTCATTCTCTCTCTTTATTTCTCTCTCTCGTTCTCTCACTCTCGTTCTCTCTCTCTCTCTCATTCTCTCTCTCTCTCTCTCATTCTCTCTCACTCTCTCTCTCTCTCATTCTCTCTCTCTCATTCTCTCTCTCATTCCCTCTCTCTCATTCTCTCTCTCTCATTCTCTCTCTCATTCCCTCTCATCCTCTCTCTCTCTCTCATCCTCTCTCTCTCTCATCCTCTCTCACTCTCATTCTCTCACTCTTTCTCTCATTCTCTCTCTCTCATTCTCTCTCTCTCTTATTCTCTCTCTCTCCCTCCCTCTCCCTCTTATTCTCTCTCTCTCTCTCCCTCTCTCTATCTCACGTTCTCTCATTCTCTCTCATTCTATCTCTTCCATACTCTCTCTCTCTCTCTCATTCTATCTCTCTCTCTCTCTTATTCTCTTTCTCTTATTCTCTCTCTCTCTTTCTCTTATTCTCTCTCTCATTCTCATTCTCCCTCTCTCTCCCTCTCTCTCTCTAAATACATTTTAGCATTGCCAAAGCATATGGGGAGGTTATATGGGATGGGGGGAGGGTAGTGGGGCATTATATGGGGAGGTTATATGGGATGGGGGGAGGGTAGTGGGGCATTATTAGGGGTAAATAATGGTATGGGGGGAATAGGTAAGTCCATTGACATTATCATGGGTAAGGGACATTATCATGGGTAAGGGAAATATTTTCACCATCGGCTCCTCTTCTCCCAGTACAATGCGGAGTCTCCTCGTCTCTTCTATAGAGGTGAAGTCCGGGAGTAGAGCGGAGAGTCTCTGGAAGTGAGTGTCCCTCAGTGCTGAGTACTTGGGGCACTGTAGGAGGAAGTGGACCTCATCTTCCAGGGCCCCCTGGTCACAACGCTGGCACAGTCTGCTCTCCCTGGGCTTGTAGGTCTGTCTATGATGCCCTGATTCTATTTCCAGGCTGTGGGCGCTCAGTCTGTACGGGCTCAGGATTTGTCTGTCCTTGGGGTCTCGTAGTACTTCCAGGTATGGGGCCAGTTTGTATTCCCTCTGTAATGATTGGTAAATGATGAGTTTCTGGGAGTTTGCTATATCATGTCTCCATTCTCTGATATAGTTTTCACTGGAATCATTAATTATGTCCTTTATTTGATATTTGGTCAGGTTGCATTCATGGAAACTTTGGATGAACAAGGTGGATACGAGTTGTTGCGGCCCATATGGTTTGGGGTGGTCCTTATTGGCCAGTAGGGCTTTATGGTGGTATGAGTTGGGGCTGCTGATGAGGACCCAGACTCAATAACCAATGTTCATTCTAGTCAACCAGGTGATTGTGCTATAGAAACATCCAAGGACGGGACTAGAGCCTAGATAACTTGGGCCATTCCAGGTGCTACTCATGACGCCAACCTCTCTGAAGTTCGAGGGACGAGACAAATGGGTCCACGCCGGTCACTGCAAGAAGTTGCTCAACCACGTCAAAGGATGAAGAGTATCAGTTTTGTTTGTTTAGTTTAGTTTATTTTAGCGAGGGAAGTGCACCTCAAACTAGCAAGGGCCACAGGGAGACATTTGTTGATTGAACTTAAAGACACATTCCTAGAGGGTAACATACATTCCTAGAGGGTAATATCAGCTATAGGTTTAATATTAGCTCAGGCGCCTCGCTTGCTAATCCTGTATGCAAGCGAGGCGCCCGGACAGGATGAGGAATTTAATTTATGAGGGGGGTTTCTGTGAATTACTAGTGACAAGGTTCAGGCCCATACTGGCAGGAGCTGACGAGACGCCCTGAAGACCAACCCATGGACCAGATGCAGAGGATTCCAAACCGACCGGCGACCAAAGCGACCCACCACCTCCCTCTGAGTCACTTCCTGAAGAGCAGAACCTCAGAGTCAAGATTTGCTTTCAAGATTCGTTTTCTTTGCCAAAAGTCTACGTGTCAAGATTTGCGTGAAAAACATTGACTTTGCGTTATTTTCCATCGTCTGTTTTGCCTTTATGGATTCAGGACTTTTCGTATACAAGAGGGACTGTTTTTCCAAAGAAGAAGATCGAGATTCATCGGGGGACACTGGGGAGCATATGACAAAGAGGAGGGACTGTTGTGGAAATTTTATTAGGATGTGTTTTTAGTGTATTGTATTATTTTGTCATTATGTTTCTCCGTGTCAGGGTTTGCTGCGTCACGCCCAATTGGCGCGTGACCCGGTTTAAATCTCCACTAAGAGTAAACCATTGGAGTAGATATTGTATGTGTGGTGGAGCAGTGTCTTCTTGGCGAATGTATGGACGCCGGCTGGGGCCCCCGTGCAATGCATGGATTTATTGGCTTGCGTGGATGGATTTGTTTTGAACGCAGTATATGAAAGGAACGTGCGTTTGTTGTCTCTAGTGCGCCTGATCAACCGCTGGAGATAATATGACGTTGTCCCTGTAAATAAGCATGCATGAGAATCATAGTAATGTTATTGGGCATTGATCACTGAGCAATGCTGGATAAGGTTCTCTCCAGTGGTAATTGGAGATGATATGTTGATATGTAGTGAGGAAGTGATATTGGTTGTTGAAATCACGTCCTGGTTTGCTGTGTCACTTCCTGTCTGACATCACTTCCTGTTGGGCAGCTATAAAACAATAAACAAATACCTGTGCTGGCTCTCTAAGCATGGAACTTGCAAGCAAGCAACACCTGTCTCCTGTGTCCTAACTCTACAGAGGTACTTCCAGTCCTTGCACAAAAGAGCGTAATACAACTGTGCTTTTAAGCACGGGGGAAATTCTTTGTGTTTGACATACTTTGGCGCAGTTTAGTGCGGCATGGATTTGTGCATTGAACCAAGCGAATTTCCATAACAATATTTAGTTATAATCTTCCGTAGTATTTGAAAAAAGTTTACATGGAGAAGTTTTAGGCAATATTTATATTACTGCATTGTTGTAACAATGCATATTATGCACATTGCTGCAACTGCGATGCCATTCATTCCGAATGGCAGCATTGTGCAAAGCAGGTGTGTTGTGAAGGTGCATTGACACAAAAAAAGATACATTTGTGTTAAAAGTTAAGTTGTCAGCAGGACAAATAGAAAGAGTAAATCTCAGGAGCGGACAAATAAACAGCAATAAAAACATGACAGAGGTTCTAATCAGGGCCGGTTTTCCCAGAAGGCCAACCGAGGCCTGGCCTCGGGGCAGCAGGGAGTAGAAGGACAGCAGGGGTGTGGAATTCCTACCCCACAACATCCAGGACATGCAGTTCCGTATGCCGAGCAGTTAGTTGTTACCTACATTAAGCCATGCTTTGGGCAAGCAGGGCTAAATGTACAGTGGGGAAGCCACCGCTTGTTTTGTACAAGTGATGTCGCTGAGATCACTTGTATGCAGCCTGCATATAGGGGGGCGCTTTGAGGAACCAGGCATTGGGGCAGCAGAGAGAGAGTAAATCCGACCCTGGTTCTAATCCTTCCCTACTCCATCCAAAGCTAAAAAAATAGTTTGCCTATAGATATACTTTAAGCGTTTTAAAAACATTTTTATTTATTTTTAACCATCCAGTAAGTGGTACAATCACTGCCTGTAACTCTGGCACTCACATCCAAGTAGGCAAACTCCACTTTTTTAGACTCGTGATTGGCTAGTAAGGTAGCTGGTTCAGTGGCGTCACAAGGGGGGTGCGGCCCGCACCCGGGTGACACCATTGGAGGGGTGACACCAAAATAACTCAGTCATTTTGGTGTCACCCCCCTCTGAAAAGTCAGGCGGACCGAACGACCGACAGTATCAGGAGAGAGGAGGGGACACGGTGGCATACCTTATCCCACCGGGTGACTGTCCCCTCCTCTCTCTGCCAGCGTCCATCACCAAGATGGCCGCCGGCAGGTATCAGAATACTGCCTCGCATTCATTCACTTCTTCTTCTGCCAAGTATGATTCAAAATAAAGGCAAGTAGTGGCTAGCACTGACAGCAGCAGGCTTATTAAAGGCTACATCAAGATTTTCTGCTAAAATCATAATTACTGCAAATTGGTATGGATGCACCACTAGCAGCAAGGCAGGATCAAGGATCAGTTTTGGGTGCTCTGCATCAATAAGCGAGCACACACGAGTGAGGACAGGAAGTGTGTTATTTTTAGGATTACCAGGTGAAAAAAAGCCTAAAGCAGGAAGAGCGCCCATAAGGTCGATCGCAATCTACCATGAGTTTCTCAATGGGGAGAAGCACTCTGTGCAGAGGCTCCTCCCCATTCAGAAACTGGTGATAGTAACCCGTGTGCAACGTCGGCCACACGAGCACCGCGGAAGGATAGGACGCCGGGCGCCTCTAGAACACACTGGAATGTAAGCCGGCCGACTCCCAGCATTCAGGGGCGGGAGGGGGCGTGGGGTTGCACCGCAGCCATGTCCCCCGGGCACAGTTCGATCGCCCGCACCCGGAACGCAGGCACATTAGTGCCTGCGTTCCGGTCCGGTGTGATCTGCAAAAATAGTGCTTGCAGCATTTTTGCGGATCGCACTGGACTGGAATGCAGACACTAATGTGCCTGGGTTCCGGATGCAGACGATCGCACTGTGGGCAAGGGGCCTGGCTGCGGTGCCATTGACTTCAATGCACTGCCACGCTCCTGAACGCAGGTGTTTTTTCGTTGGTAGATCTCATTGAGCTCGTCATTTGAAAAGTAGATCTCCAGATGAAAAATTGTGGGCAGAAATAGAGTACATATAAACCCAATAAGAAATTTGGCTCACCATTGCATCGGGTCCGGGAGATGTCTAATTGGAAGCCTCCATGACACTCACATGAAAACCCATGTGGGCCTTTCATACAGCGACCATTCACACATGGGCACTCATTTGACTCCTCTTCTGAGCTATCTCCATCTGGAATTACAATAAGAAAAATAAAACAAGGAAACAAAATTAGCAAGGTTATCATACCATCAGTTTCAGAACAAACCACAAACAAGTAATATTTGAGATATTTATCAAGATCAAACTGCTTATTATTTTATAATGTCATGCTGTACATTATGGCCTCTAAAGCTATATTCTAGCTGAACAAAAATTACTCCACCAAGTACAAGATGCATAACCTACCTGTCGAGGGATTCTCATCCAAGCACCGCTTTTGTGCATCATCTCTCTGCATAGCTAAAATCCCTCTAGCAGTCCCCTGTTTTGGGAACACTATTTTGCCCATAATTGGAATGTGCAGTGGGTATTCCCATTGCGGGCCATTTCATTGATCCTAGATCCTAAGGGGTTGGAGGATGTGTTGTCTTTCCAAATATCTTGTCTCTCTGCTATTTATAGGTTTCTTTTTTTTTTTCCCTTAAAGTATATGTACAAAACAACATTTTTTTTTTAGTTTTGTATATATTAGGGAAGGTTAAAAGCTCAGGTCAGTTTATATTTTATTTTCCGATCAAAGGATGGTAGCATGAAATTCCGTACCCAAGGTTCCCAGACCTTCATAAATGTTGTCATTGTATCCAGTAATCTTGCCATTAGTTCTTTGTTTGTGAAAGTACAATGGATTCTGCACTTCACTTTAGGCAGCTATAGGGAGTCGGACATCCAGGCTTTCGCAATAGAACATGCAACATAAATTTATACTGATGTTTTGTGAGGCCCTCGGCCAAGGGGTCATCCTTAGATGCCCGCTAAATGACATAGAAGGCAGTCAGAAGATGGGATACAGGCCAGAGAGGCTACAAAATATTTATCTTGCAGTTAACAAAATACCTCTCCAACTGGCAATTTATAATTCTCCCTAAGGGTGTTAAAGGATTATATAACAAAAAATACATGGAAGCACACAACTGTAATGTGGTCAGGTCTTTCACTTACTGACTTTGTGGGAGATGGTGTGCATAGACTCTTCAGAAAACCGGGAGAGGAGCCCCGTGTAATGTGTTCAACAGAAAAAATACATAGAAGAGTGCAACTACCAGAGATAATGATTAGATGCTGAGCATCCTACTGTGAGTGGCTGATTGGTTGAAATAGAAATAGTTGGTGTATAACTTACGGTTGTGATGTCATGGATGGGCACATACACTCCCTGCAGTCCCGTGTGGTCAGCGATGTTGATCTGTATGTTACCGGGCAGGAAGATCTAAACTATCCAGGATATCCCCAGGCCGCGTCCTCGGCTGGCCAGGCCGAGCCGCGGCAACTGGGAGCAGGAGAGGGAGAGCTGTCCGGCAGCTGGAATCGGCACTGAGCAGTGTGTTGCCGTGTGGTGTGCGGCGCGAACGCAGGAAGGTCCAGTGAGCGGTATCGGTCAGTGCTCGTGAGTCCGAGGGAGATATGTTTAAGTTGTGAGGCACCCCTGTGGGATCAGTTAGCGGCTACGCGTTTCGAGGGTAACCCTCTTTGTCAAGCCTTAGAGCGGTGTCAGCCGCGGGAGAATTAATGTCTTTTAAAAATGACAGGGGGGAGGAGTCAAATCCGAATGGGTGCCGTGACAGCGTTAGACGCCAAGAGGCGGACCAACAGTCTCGAAGGCACTTCGGGGATGATTAGTCAAGAGTTCTCATACTCCGGTTTTTCATTCTGGGGCCCATGTGTGTTCTTCTATCTCTATGTTAGCTATTGTCACAGCTTGTTACAAATGAGTATTGCCGTTTTGACATGCCAAATGGACTAATATTAAAACTATGTAAACCATGCTGGCAAATGGAGAACCTACATTATGACACAAATAAAAACCTGTTATTTTAATTATAAATAGAGAAAATTAAAATGTCACATTTATTTAAAAATGAATAAAATTTTTTAGGATAGAATGTTTTTTTAAATAAAAATTGATGTTTATTATCCAATGGAAAAAGGACTACATATAGCTCCAAGACTATTAAGGGGTGACCATCCACTCCTGATATAGGTGTTGGGGGTAGTACCAATATTCAAGTGGGTCCACCTGGGTCCCTTGGGGAACTAGTCGAGGAATCCAAGGACAGCTGGTGGATTACACGCCAGGACATGGCGGTTTTTCTACTGTCACAGAACTTTCTCGGTGTGTATGCAACATGACATTTAGTCAAGATGCTAGCACACCACTTGTTATTGTCAATGGTCTACATCACAAGGCTGGAAGACATAAAACATATTATTATGGTTAATAGTATTATAAAGAGTTGAGACGCACTAAAGAATAGTGTGTATCTCAATTTCTTCATTTAGCCCATTAGGTGTTAGAGTATTGAGTTTATAAATCCAGAACGTTTCTCTTCTGCAAAGTGTATGGAAACGTTCTGATGGAGATAAGTGTGTGGGGATGTATTCGATTGCAAATACCCTCAGGTCTTGGATCCTTTTTTGGTGTTTGATGGAAAAGTGTCTTGGGACACTGTGTTCCAGGTTGCCCTTAGCAATAAGACACCTGTGGTCCCCAATCCTGGCCCGTAGTGGGCGTATGGTGCGGCCAATATACATCAACCCACAGGGACAAGTAAGCCCGTAGATCACATGGTCATGGGAGCATGTGATAAACTGCTTGATGTGTTGTTGCTTTTTAAGATGATCAATAAACTGGGACTGTCCGTGCTGAATAAACTGGCACGTGAGGCATCTAGGCTTTTTACATTGGAAGATGCCTACCCGATTGTCAAAGAGAAAATGCTTTGGTGTGTCCTACTTGGTCCCACCCGATTTTTTACATTTCTCGTTTTTCTAAAGTTGATCGAGGGTTTGGGAGGTAATCTGGGACCTAATCTGGGATTGGAAACGTGTGACTTTTTGGAGCAGGATCTGGCTTCAAATTGGGAACTCCTGGCGGAGTTCTGCACAAAAAAGTGGATTGAACTTATCATTATCCAGAGAAAATGTAAATTAGTACATATCACTAGGATAGTACAGGAATTACGAACCACCATCCAAGACTCCTTTTGGACTTCATGTCGGTTTAACTCCTGGATAGCTAACTTAGAACACAATCTCAAGGCCTCTTGTATATATTATACATATATAATATTGTGCACGAGCACAATATTATCAAGTCCAAATCCAAGAAGCTCCGCAGAGACATTGCAGACTATAAACTCAATAGAGTTTTTAGCTGGAAACAGACGTCTTGACCAGGGGCTGATCCAGAGTCTAGTCTCGGGAGGGGCACTGCCAGAAAATAAGACCCCCCAAATCTGCACAGAGTGCAGAGGTCAGTCGTAAATAACGCACAGAGTGCAGAGGTCAGTAGTAAGAAACATACAGAGTACAGAGGTCAGGAGAAGGTAACCCACAGAGTGCACCGGTCAGGAGGAAATGCACAGAGTGCATCGGTCAGAAGGATCTGACGCACATGAGGGATCTGACGCAGATGGAAGTAACGCATGGAGTGCATTGGTCAGAAGGAAGTAAAGTACGGAGTCCATCTCTCAGAAGGAAGTAAAGTACAGATTGCATCAGTTAGAAGGAGGTAACGCACAGAGTGCAGAGGTCAGACGGAAGTAACGCACAGAGTGCAGAGGTTTGTGGTAAGAAACGCACACGATATGTGTTCGCTCACTTCCCGATCTACTGAGCCGACCTGTGACAGTTTCATTGTCACCGGTCGGCTAGAACTATGAGGATGAAGCTTGTAGTGTGCTTGTTTTTTACACTGAACCACAGTAAACTCTTTGACAGTGACAGCTGTATGTCCTGGCCGCTGTGCGGGAATGTACTCCTGTCACTACTACTGCGGGTGGGAGCGCATCTATCTGGGGGGGGGCGCAATTCAGTCTGTCTTTCACGCACGAGGTCAGCAACACTAGACTAGTGTTCCTTGATCTCGAGCTGTATTCCACGGAATGGAAAATAGTCACCAGCAATCATGTCAAACCGACGGGAGGGAACTCTTATTTACACTATAAGAGTTGTCATCACCCCCGGTGGAAAAAGAACATGCCGAAAAGCCAATTCTGCAGGCTAAAAAGGAATTGTACACAAGATGGCGACTATATTACCTCAAGCCATCTTCTCCTTGAGAAATTTAGGGACAGAGTACCCGGAGGAACTCATCACTGAAGCATTTTCCAGTTACTCTGACCACAAACCAAATGCGGAGAGAAAAAGGGACTGTAGTATTGACAACCACAACAAAAAAGACATTAGATTTATTACTACTTTCAGTAATAGTTTTACAGCAATTCAAAAGGTGGTTAACAAACATTGGCATATTTTACAGAAGGATCCCAGATTAGGTCCCAGATTACCTCCCAAACCCTCGATCAACTTTAGAAAAACGAGAAATGTAAAAAATCGGGTGGGACCAAGTAGGTCTTTTCAAGCACCAGAGGACACACCAAAGCATTTTCTCTTTGACAATCGGGTAGGCATCTTCCAATGTAAAAAGCCTAGATGCCTCACGTGCCAGTTTATTGATTATCTTAAAAAGGAACACCACATCAAGCAGTTTATCACATGCTCCCATGACCATGTGATCTACGGGCTTACTTGTTCCTGTGGGTTGATGTATATTGGCCGCACCATACGCCCACTACGGGCCAGGATCGGGGGCCACAGGTGTCTTATTGCTAAGGGCAACCTGGAACACAGTGTCCCAAGACACTTTTTCCATCAAACACCAAAAAAGGATGCAAGACCTGAGGGTATTTGCAATCGAATACATCCCCACACACTTATCTCCATCAGAAAGTTTTCATACACTTTGCAGAAGAGAAACGTTCTGGATTTATAAACTCAATACTCTAACACCTAATGGGCTAAATGAAGAAATTGAGATACACACTATTCTTTAGTGCGTCTCAACTCTTTATAATACTATTAACCATAATAATATGTTTTAAGTCTTCCAGCCTTGTGATGTAGGCCATTGACAATAACAAGCGGTGTGCTGTGCATACACACCGAGAAAGTTCTGTGACAGTAGAAAAACC